TGGTTTTGAATAAGATATTCCTGTTATCCCTAGTTTTTTATTTATCCCTTAATTATTACCTAGGTTAACTTACCATAATAGATATTAAAGTTAAAGATTAATTTTTTTTATTGCTCTTATAATGATAGATAAATATTATTGCAGAATCAATACATTTATCATTTAGCTTAGAATCTAAGTATAATATTTGTGATTTCATTTTTACAAATTAAATTACTATTCATACAAATAACTTTCTATAAAATAATTATATATATTGTTAATAAAAAATAATTTACTTTAGGGTGATCAAGTCCACAAATCGGTTTTCATAATATTCTTCCAAGGTGATCAACTGAAGTCTCGAGTACGTAAAATATGTGAAGGATTTCGTGCTACATTATACCCATGTCCTGAAGCTCCATCTCAACGTCGTGAAATGGCTATGGGAGTTATGACACGAATTGAAGATTTAAATACGGTATGTAATTTTTAATTTTTATGCCAAATTTTTAGTAAAAAAATTTTTTGCTTATTATAGGTACTGGGCCAAACACAAGACCATCGTCATCGTGTGCTTGTTGCTGCTGCTAAAAATATAAAAAATTGGTTTATTAAAGTTGTTAAGATCAAAGCAATTTATCATACATTAAATTTATTTAATTTGGATGTCACACAGAAATGTTTAATTGCTGAATGCTGGGTACCTTTACTTGATATTGAAACTATACAATTGGCTTTACGTAGAGGAACTGTAAGTTTTTTAAAGTTATTACAAACTAATGTGAAATGTATCTTTTAATTTTTTTGTAAAAAAATGTTAATAGGAACGTAGTGGAAGTTCTGTACCACCTATATTAAATAGAATGGACACATTTGAAGATCCACCAACTTATAATAGAACAAATAAATTTACAAGTGCTTTCCAAAATCTAGTGGATGCTTATGGAATTGCTAGTTACAGAGAAATAAATCCTAGTAAATTTCTTAGTATAAAATATTTCAATTAAAGTTTAATACCATTTGTGTTATTTTTTTAATTCTAGCACCATATACCATAATCAGTTTTCCATTTTTGTTTGCTGTGATGTTTGGAGATCTTGGTCACGGATGTTTGATGTTTTTGTTTGCTGCTTTCTTAGTACTACGTGAAAAACCATTAGCTGCAAAAAAAACTGACAATGAAGTATATACATCCTTCATAAATATATAAAAGTTCGAATTAATCTAAATCATAATTTTATTTTATTTATTTTAGGTATGGAATATATTCTTTGCTGGACGTTACATAATATTACTTATGGGTCTTTTTTCTATGTATACTGGTTTTATATACAATGATATATTTTCTAAATCCATCAATTTGTTTGGATCACATTGGCATACAAATTACAATGAATCAACTGTAATGAGTAATAAAGATTTACAGATAAATCCTTCCTTATCATCAGATTATGATCAAGTTCCATATCCAGTAGGACTCGACCCCGTATGGCAGGTAAAAATATTAATGATAATGTTTAGTCTACATTTTATTGTTTTTATTAAAACTAATATTTCTTTTTTTAGTTGGCATTAAACAAAATTGTGTTTTTAAATGCATATAAAATGAAAATATCTATTATAATTGGTGTATTACACATGTTGAGTGGTGTTAGTCTAAGTTTGTACAATTATAGGTAAGGGTATTAAATTATTTTTACTTTTGTTGATTAACATCTCCTTAACAATTGATTTAAATATTATTTAATAAACAATTCATTTTTTAGATATTTTAAAGATCAGCTTTCTATTTATTGTGATTTTATTCCACAAGTAATATTCTTAACATTCCTATTCTTTTATATGGTTTTGTTGATGTTTATCAAATGGGTATCATACGGACCACAAAACGGTATGTGCTTCAATAACTTTTTAACTATAGATATTATTAAATTAGTTTTATGAATAATTTATTAATAATTGAAAATTCTTATAGACTTTCCTGATAGCCCTGCATGCGCACCATCAATTTTAATAACATTTATTAATATGGTGTTATTCAAAGATGCTGTTGCATTAGAAAATTGTAATACAGTTTACATGTTTTCTGGTCAGGTAACTAAATTTCTTTATAGTTTATGCATTATTTTTAAATATATTTAATAAAAACTTTATGTTTTTGTATTAATATTACATCTTTTATAAATATTTTCTATTTTCTTTAGGGTGCTTTACAAAAGTTTTTAGTCATTGTAGCACTTTTGTGTGTACCAATTATGTTACTTGCCAAACCCATATATATTATGCGTCAACAGAAAGATAAACATGTACAAGTAAATTATTTTATATGTTAAATAAAATTAAAAATATAAATATTAAGTTTTAAAAAAATCAATTACATTTATTACTCGTTAACAGTTAGTTAATGGCCACGCAACAACTGAAAATGGTGATGCAGAAGGTGCTGGCCGAGTAGTTCAACAACCACCACCTCCAGCTGGTGGACATGATGAAAATGAGATTGGTGAACTCTTTATTCACCAAGGCATTCATACAATTGAATATGTACTTGGATCTGTGAGTCATACAGCTTCATACCTTCGCTTATGGGCTCTTTCTTTAGCTCATGCACGTAAGTTATATAATATAGTTATTTGTATCATTCACTATTTATTGTATATAAATATAAAATATTTTTTAAAACATTTTTAGAATTATCTGAAGTTTTATGGAGTATGGTAATGACCAAAGGACTGATTTTGGAATCATGGATAGGAGGAGTTTGGTTGTGGTTTGTCTTTGGTTTTTGGGCAATCCTTACAGTCGGCATTCTTGTGCTGATGGAAGGTCTTTCTGCATTTTTGCATACTCTTCGTTTGCATTGGTAAAATCATATTTTGTTACTATTTATTAAAAGAAACTAATATTTATTTATTTCTTAATTAAATACATATTTCATGCACTTATAATGAATGTTGCGTTTATCATTTAAAAGTATCATATCATATTTATACAAAAATATTAATGTAATATAAATTTTTTAGGGTTGAGTTCCAGAGTAAATTTTACAAAGGACTTGGTTATGCATTTGCACCATTTTCTTTTGAAGTTATTTTAAATACGGCTTCAACTGCAGTTGAAGAATAAACAAAACATTCAAAGGAAGAATGTAGTAATATTATTTTAGAACTATATAGTTGCTATATTAATTAATACTACTAAGAATAAACATAATTTATATTAATTTCATTCCATTTTTAATGGTTTTTAGAATCTTATGATTCATTTTTAGGTTTATCATAAAACTTAGTTTGTGACATAAACATCTAGATTTAATATTTTAAAACCATTAAATAAATACATACTTAGAAACTTAATGTTTTTTTATTTAATTGAATAACTTATAATGTTTATAAGTTTATTAGTAGTTGTCATATTCTATTCACTTAATTTATTTTAAAATCAAAGTTAAGTATATTATAATGTATTAATTTTTAAATATTAATCCATAATCTTTTTACTTGAGTATTTATTTAAACATATTTTATTTTTTTAGTCAATTGAGATTTTTCTTATTCTATTATATAGCTTGAATTAAAATATATTCATTCTGTAGATACCTACTATTTATTAGAATATTAAGGAATATTATGAATGAAAAAGTATAAACAAAAAGACATCATGACGTTAGCTCCTTTACTGGTTTACTGTACATAACTGTAGTACATATTGACCGTTGATTTCCAATATTTTTGTTACTACCAAGCCAAATTTATAAATTTATGATCAATTAATCAATCATTTGGTACTTATACATTATTATAAATTAAAAATAAAGCTTAATATTAAAAAATAATAATTTATAAATATATAACTTTTGGAAGACCTCACAATGAAATGCATAGCATTATACTTAATAGCATTTCTGTAGTGGCATTTTGGTAATAGTATTGTTTTATTAGTAGGAAATGGATGGTAATGTAATAAAAAAAAACTACAATATGAACTTATTTTCATTGAAACATACATAAAAAAATAAATATACCAAAATATGTAATAGTTGCTTAATACAAAAAAAGAAAGATATAAATAAAGCTTAGCAAAAAAAATTTTCACTTATCTAATTCTTGTAGCAATGTAAAATTATATATTCTCAGAGTTTTGAAAATGTTAAGTCTTAAACGGTGAGGATTTTAATGCAACACGATTTTGTACTAAAAATATACTGTCTGATGTAATGAGAGGCATACTTCATATTATCTGGGTACATCATTGACAATCAAGATTTTTTGTTATTAAGTTCTTGATGTACCTTGATTAGAGATTCTAATCTATATTTTTGTTGTCTTATTTCAATTAAAATAATTTTAACCGCACACATTTTTAATTATATCTTATTCCAGTAGACAATAAATAAATATATAATGAAATCTGTTCTCCATTTATCAGTTATATTCACCAACTTTGGTTGAGATAAATGCACAAGCTAAATAAAAATTAATTTAAAGTATATTTTATAATTTATGTTTTATGTATTTTAGTTTTACTATTTTAATTTTAATGATTTATAAGAGTTTAGTTATTGGTTTAGAGCCAATATTGTTATTGTTCATGAGATATCATGACTTAAAATTTAAATATAGGTACTAAAAAATCATAGATGATTTGTTGATTGTGTATATTAATGATGATTGATGTTATTGTTAAACATAGTGCATTGGTATATTAAATAATATATATTATTTACTATTTAGGGACTCCGGAATCCGCACTAGGGAGATGGGTTATATTATATTATTATTATATAATATTTATTATTTATTCAATTTGTCCTGTCCAACCTGAGTACCTGATTGGAATTCAAAATTTCAAAAACAATGGTTATATAGTGAGTAAGTTGGTCAAACCGTTTATGAGTTGGGCACGATTGGTATGACTTGCGTACAAGTGTTACCATTTTGCTGTCCTTTGACAACAGCACTACTGTAATAGCAGTCTGGCGTTTCGATAAACTGTATTATTGTAGTACTATACTACATAGTCTTAGTCTTTACTCAGTAGTCACTACACACTAGTCAGTTTAATTTTTGTTTTTAGTGTGTTTTGTGCGCCGATCGACCCAGTCATGGGTCGCGGCGCCCGTCGCACTCTTTGTTACCGTCTTAGTTTGCCTTACTCATTGAATTAATGTACCTTGCTTCTTCGCCTTTCCACTGGAGTTTGTTGCGTCCGGCATCCCTTGCTTTCTGCTCTTAAGTCTTGACATAAAAATGTCATCATCCAACTATCATTTACCAGTCACGTGCGAATTTCGTTCGCGATAGGTGATCCGCCAATCTCAATGTTCATCTTCTGACGGATGCGGTTTCGGCGTCATCACCATTTTTTTATCTTCGATCACCATATAATTCATTAACGTAAATTAATATTCCAGTAGTTGCAGATTGACGTCCGCCTTTTTAAAAAACTTCGTAAGTATTAACCTCCATCTGATAACAATGTCGTCAATGATCCTTATTTCTTAACCTTAAATTTCCATATTGCAATTAGTGACTCGCTTTTTAGTTTTTACTACAAAATTAATGAAATGCCTGTTTTACTTTTTTATCTGTTCTACTCCCAAGTTTTATTCAATCGAAATCCTAACATGTTACATGAGAACATAACTGTCCGCCGTTAATGGCAATATTTCGATAGATTAACATTGCCGCGTGGTTTTTTCTATTGTACACATTATGGTTTGCTTGCCTTTTTTTTTTCGTTGCTCGTTTTTATCGATTGATTGCCGATTCACCTCGTGTTATGCCTCATGTCCATGAGGTTATATCAGTTTCTCTTACAGGTTACACGACCCGTCTTAAGTGTATTTGTGGCTTGTATTTTTGGTACTCTATTTAATTTCGAATTATCCATTCTATACATAAATTATTTCCGTTATTTCAAGTTTAGCAAATAGCAGTCGGGCCTTCTTCGGTCGATCTGGTTATACATGACGATGATTTTAAAGTTTTCACAATTTGGTTGATAGGAGGTAGTACTTTGATATTAGTGTAATTTATGTTCAATAATGTAAAAGTATGGTTAATTTATATCGTACATATGTATATAAGGAAATGTCCACTCCCCAGCTTCCCGCTAAGTTACTTACTAGTTAAGGACGTTTAGTGAGTGGTAAATTAATTTCCTAACTATTGTAACACTATTTTGTTCACTATAATTAAGTAGTATTGTAAATTAGGAAACATCTATATTTAAGACTTAAATTAAGTACTTAGTTTTAGTTAACAACCAAAATATTTAAGTGTGACATGTGAGGTCAATAAACATAGTATCTATCTATGTACTTAGGCACCTATTTAATTTCATGAAGAAATTTGTCCACTCCCCAGCTTCCCGCTAAGTTACTTGCTAGTTGAGGACGTTTAGTGAGTGGTAAAATAATTTTCAAATTATCGTAACTACTAGTTTGTACATCCTTAACAAATTAGTACTGCAATTTTGAAAACATTTACATTGATGAGTTAAATATACAGTAAAATTCACTTAATGGGAACAAATCATCAGAGACTCGAACAAATGTATTTATTTTAGGCAATATAAATTTGTTTATTGGGGACAAACCATCGGTCATAAAAAACATAATAATCTATACATACCTAATTTTTTATTGAAAATGATTATATTATTTTTATGTAAATTACATTTTATATAATAATCTTATGTTATAAATAATAACAACTACCTATCTATTTTACTTTTAATTATCATTTCTTTATCTTCTACTAAGATAAATTGAGTTGACTAACCTGCGTACACAAATATTTTATCAATCTTTCAGATCTGTGCATATGTTCTGTTTTTATTAATCCCAGTTTGTGTTAATCTAGTAGCAGTAATGTCTCATAAAGATTTAATGTTGATTGAAAATATTTCTGCACTGGATAAAATAAAAGCTCAACTTTAAAATACTATGTCTGTGATTTAGAGAAATTAATATACACATCTAAATCATTAAATCTTGTAAATAAAGTTATTATGTATTAGACTTAAATTTTTTTTTAATTTTTATTTTTTTAAATATCGGTTGATGGGGACAGATCACTGTCCTGTATCCCCATTAAGTGGATTCTACTATACTTAACAATCAATGTGTGTTCTATATATTTATGATTGTTATCAAACAATATAAGATTATTTTTATGTAATTTGTACCTTTTTAAAGAAATTATCCATTCCCCAGCTTCCCATTAAGTTACTTGCTAGTTGAGGACGTTTAGTGAGTGGTAAAATAATTTTCAAATTATCGTAACTACTAGTTTGTACATCCTTAACAAATTAGTACTGCAACTTTGGAAACATTTACATTAATGAGATGAATTAAGTAGACATTATACCTACTGAACATCAAATGTGTTTAATGTATTTATTATTGTTATCAAACAATGCTAAATTAGTTTCCATTTTTATGTACATATGTAAAGAATATGTCTAATAATTTTAAAAATTGTAACTACTATTTTGTACAATCCAATAAAGTAGTATTGTAACTTAAAAACATCTAAAATCCAAGAATGAATTAAAATATATTTTGCTTTAAATATCTTTTCTTTTTTTACATTTTATAAAACTTATATCAATAAGTATGTTCTTTAATATACTGTTTTATTTCATTCTGTTGATTGGTGGTTTAGCTTTCAAATCATTTAAGAATAAATTATTTTCAAATGTTATGAGTATTTTTTTGATAAAGTGTTGGTTGGCTATACTTCTAGATCTTGTAACTATCTAATTCTTATTGTCTAAAATTCATCTCGGTATATTAGAAAACTATATCAATTAAAATGTATTACAATTTTATATAGATGTGTAATTTTTAGATTATGTTAAAGGTTTATGAGATTTTAATAATTTATTAATTTACAAATTCTTGCAACATGCCTATGGATTTAATAGTTGTGATATTTGTTTTGATTTCTAGTTGATTTTTTAAGTCAGTAAATCTCAATTTTTTACATCAGTTGCTTGGATAAATTAACTACATGCTACATCAGTCTTCTTAACTTCTTGGAATAAAGCATTGCATATTTAAGTAAAGTAAGTTTATTAATATTTGTATTATGGTCAGATATATGTACTGTAAGATCTAACTAATCATTATTAATTTTAACTTGAATTATTCTTGTTTTCCATGGAAATTTTAATCTCTAAGTTCAATTATTAGACATAGTTGTTTTCAATTTTTAGCTGCCAATTTAGTATAATTATAAATATTATAAAAATCTAAAATATCATGTTTTATTTTAATAGATAAAGTTTACTATGATGAAAATTTCAGGCTCCCTCATCTGAGAGAACCCAAAATTAAACAATGCAGAATTTACCACTTTTCTGAGTAAACCATTAAAATTAAAAATTTTGATTTATTTTCTTATTAAAATATTTATGATTTGTTTTAAGTTAGAATTTTATTTACTATGATGAAAGGTTCAGGCTCCCTCATCTGAGAGAACCCATAATTAAACAATGCAGAATTTACCATTTTTCTGAGTGAAGGTAGCAAATGTTGTTATGTCAATTTTCTTCAATTTATTTATCAAAAATAGGTACAATTGACTATGATGAAAATTTCAGGCTCCCTCATCTGAGAGAACCCATAATTTAATAATGCTGAATTAACCATTTTCTGAGTTATTAAATAAATATTTACTAAAAGTATAAGGTATTTAATAAAATATATTTATTTAATTAAAACTTAATGATGACTTAAACAGGCTCCCTCTTCTGAGTTAATCTGTTAAAAGATTTGCTGCGGAAAACTGCTGTAATGTCTGATGTTTATTTTATATATATTTATATATATATAATTTTAGGTGCATACATTTAATAATTATTTTTATTATGATAAAAACTAATAACTTTTATGATACATCCTAATCAGAATAAGAATGCATACTGAGCTGTGTGAATAGTGTACTATAATTAGTCGTTAGTTTTTGACTGCTGCTATTATTTGTTGTAGTCGAAAACTGCTATTATGAATGCAATTAATCATAATCCTCATTAAAATTGCTTGCTATATTGATAATTGATAAATAATTAACAAAAAAATAGAAAATAAATAGAGAGTGTACAGTTTTTTGGCATATGTAAGAATAAACGCTTAACCACAAGTGACATAGTATATGATTATCATCTCATGAAGATTATATTGTATTTCACTATGTATTCATCTATGGCATGGTGGTACAAAAAACTTAGCGCTCATCGTGGCAACAGAAATGTGCAAACGCGACAAATTTTCATTGGTTGAGTTAGCATTCTTATTCTGAATAAGGTGTAGTTAACGTCAAATCTATTTACATTTTACTTTAAAAACTCAAACTTCTAAATTTTACTTTAAGTTTTTTATTTAATGACATGTTACAAAATTAGTGTGACTATTAACTAGTTCATTTTTGAAGAACAAGAACTGAATAATATTTTGATCCACCATCATCTAGCTTTCCACTTATTTAAATTTATATTAGGACATTTAATTAGTAGTAAAAATTTTTCCTGTTATAATTAATTAAAACCTTGATATAATTTTTGAAGTTTGTTCATCATATAAGTTGTATATTTTTTTAAAATTGTGTTTTCATGAAAGCCAAAAAAAAATAATTATTCTTAACAAGTAATACTGCCAGTTCAGCTAGCATTACATAAAACATAAATTTATATTAACTTCTCTTTGACTATAAACTAATGAAAATATTTTTTGTTTTAGATCAAATTTTCTGTTTATTTGTTACTCCGTTGTTTATCATATGGTAAAGTGCATTATCTAAAGCTGCTGTTCAATGTAAAATAATTTAAGTTAAGAGGTAATTTTATTGTCTTGCATAATATATTTTGTATCAAAATTGAATGAGAAATATGTTTTCAGATCAAAATCTTAAGACTTAAATTGTTTCAAGATAGTATTATCATCCATATTTTATTTATTTGCTGACTATCAACATTTATTTTTGTAAAATGGCTATGGCTGTGCTTGTAGAAATGGTCATGAGTTCACTTTACAATGAATACTCGGCTTAATGTACCACAGAATATATCTCTCCTGGATTCATTACAACATGACTTAATGGTATATAGAAAGCATTAACACCTGACCAAATGTCCTTAAAGATCACAGGCTCGTCAAACTTGTGTGCATTACCAAAGTAAGTAAAAAAAAAAAAATGAAAATATACAGTTGCGTTTATAAAACTTAATTATTATTAATAAAATATTTTAGTCCTGTTTACTCCTGTTTACCATTAAAAAAATAAAAATAATAACACTACTTAATTTCCTTTTTATATTGTTACCAGTGATAGTATTTAATTTATAGTAAGCTGCTTAATATATATGTTTTTCAAAAATATATAATTTATAATTGAAATATTGACCAATCTAATATATATATATATAAACAGGAAAAGTTTATTGAAAATCAACATAATATCTCATTTTATTATGTAAGTAAATTTAAGTATCTTTTTTTATCCTTTAGTTATTAATTATTATTTATTTATTATAAATTTTATTTTCAAAGAAAACTGTGATACTTTATTTTAATTAAAACGCATTATGAAATTTATCATTTCTCTCACCAGTTAAAATTAAGGTATGAACAAAATAATACTCATTAGTCTAAAATACAAAAAAAAAAGTCATGATTAACTATTTAATTGATGCCAAAATTGCATTATAAGTAACATTTTAGTGTTGATGATTAAAATTATTTATGATCTACATAGAGTATTATTGGTGTGGTTCTGTGAAATAATTAGGTTAAATAGGAATCCAATAATGTGAAGTCAACGTGTTATGAGTCAACTTCACAGTATTAGCTTAAGTTAACATGAAGTTGCAATAAGTGTATATATTTTAATAAGCTTAAATTAAATTATTAATTATAAGTTAAGTAATTTTAATAATAGATAAGATTAAGATGTGATTGTCATATCAGAAGCAGAAGATAAAATGTTGAAAAAAGAATAAAGCATGTCAGATAATAATAACTAACATTATGTATTATATACATTATGCATCAATGTATTGAGCATCGGGTTTTTAACTTATTCACACATCTCAATATCTTTTTAAATTGTATTTCAATTAAAATTAAATTACTATATATTTGGAGTTTTTAAAATAAGTTATTAATTCTTATTATTGTGATTATGTAACTGACAAAGAAAATTTTGTATGTCTAAAAATTTCAGTAATTTAATTATTTCAGTTTTAAATCAATAAATTGATTGGTGCCTTGATATAATAGTTCTTATTTTTATAATGCATGAGCCACGATTAATATTAATAGGTTATTATATTAAGTATAATCTGGTTATGAATTATAAAATTTAAATGTATAATCAGCTAATAAAAAAAAAAAATGTTCATTGATTTACTTAAGTTTTATTTTATGTTTGGTTTCAATTCAAGAAGATTTAATACTATTTTAACCATGGCAACATGATCCCAAAGATTCTATGATAATAATGTTAATTAATTTCTCTAGTAAATAACTGAAATAAATCTGCGTTTAAAAACAAGATAAAATTTTTTAGATGACTTGAATCTCAATTTTTTCTAGATGATTGTAAATGTAAAAAGGTTAGAATTGGTTCTTTATTGTTATGAACATTTTTTTATTACAATATTTTATTTTATCTTGCTTTATTATCAAAATATTGAAGGAAGAAATCTTCACCTGAATTTGCTTCATAGTAACCTATTAAATTAATTAATTAATTAGGTTGGTGTAGTATAGATTCATTCCAATATAAAAAATTTTGAAATTAAATGTGGACTGTTTAACAACAATGTGCTATGCTTCTAAGAAGGGCAAAAAATGATGTCATAGCATTCTATTAGTAACTATGTACTCTAAAACCACGTCCTATTTCTTTTACCAATTCTTCTCTATTTCTCTTAAAAACCATTTCCTCTACTTTTAAAACTTTTTGGTTTTACCTTTAGTTTTTATGATAAAATCTCTGTATTATTTGATTAGTTGTAATGTTTTTAAGATTTAAGGACTATTAAGTATAATTAACTTGTTTTCTGTTAAAAATTGAACTATTGAATAGGTATTAATATTAGCGTTTAATCATTTAAATGTGTTTCGATCATCCTTCAATATTTAACTATTTAAATTTGTTATAAGTTTTAAAATGAAGAATAATAGATACCAAATTAAAATTAAAAGATAAACTCAATGTTTTGAATTAATTTTCTTATGCTAATTATTTCATTTTCATATTTATATTTTTATCATAAATAAATTTTAATTAATAATATTCTAAATTGTAATAGTACTGCCACTTACATAATATACCTGTGATTTATTAAACTAAAATTATAACTTATTTATATTATTTATAAGTAAATGTTAATATTTAAATACCTACATTAAAGTTTAAATTCAACATTTACCCAAAATCCATCAAAAGTTAAAGTATATACTACAACATAATTTTATTTTATTCTATACTATACTATTACTCTTAGTATTATATTTATTCTTATTGTTTTAAGTAAATACTTAAACATAGGGCCAATGACCGGTGGAATTAGATAACATGTTAAATATTGTTAATTAAGACATTTTTACATGTTGTAAGTGTAAATAGTATTTATATTAACTTATTATTAAGTAAACGTTTAGTTATATTGTTAATTAAACAACTCCTAAGTACCAACATAGATATCATGTTTTAAATTCTTTTTCAAGACATTTTGACGTGATGTAAGTGTAAATTATTTTTATGTTGCTAAGTTAATATTAAGTAGTGTCATTAATTTGACCATCTGATCGCCTGAAACTGAATTAGATAACATGTTTATTATTGTCAATCAAGACATTTTAACATGTTGTAAGTGTAATTAATTTTCATATATTTAAGGTACTATTAAGCTAGTATTAAGGTAAGTCATTTATTTGACATTATGCTCTGATCGCTCTATCTTTTTATAGATAGCATGTTTATTATTGTCAATCAAGACATTTTAACATGTTGTAAGTGT